ACAGCCCAGTCTGTGTGTCTGCTGTGACAGCCCAGTCTGTGTGTCTGCTGTGACAGCCCAGTCTGTGTGTCTGCTGTAACAGCCCAGTCTGTGTGTCTGCTGTAACAGCCCAGTGTGTGTCTGCTATTACAGCCCAGTCTGTGTGTCTGCTATTACAGCCCACTCTGTGTGTCTGCTGTAACAGCCCAGTCTGTGTCGGCTATTACAGCCCAGTCTGTGTGTCTGCTGTGACAGCCCAGTCTGTGTCTGCTGGGATAGCCCAGTCTGTGCCTGCTCTGCAATGGCCCAGTAAATACCAAGTATCTATTGTAATTACCCAGACACTCTGTAAAAAAAAAACTCCAGTCTATTGTAACAATCCACTATTAACTCACCATCCATCCAGTATAGAGTCCATATTGTGGGGAAGCAGGCAATTCAGCTCAAGAAGGCCACAGCGACTCTCTGCAGAACATCGCACACAGACCCACACTCCCCACCATTGTAATTCCACATTTCCAATGGCTAATCCACCTGACCTGCACATCCCTGGGCACTATGGGGCACTTTAGCACGGCCAATCTACCCTAACCTGCACATCCCTGGGCACTATGGGGCACTTTAGCACGGCCAATCCACCCTAACCCGCACATCCCTGGACACGATGGGACAATTTAGCATGGCCAATCCACCCTAACCTGCACATCCCTGGGCACTATGGGACAATTTAGCACGGCCAATCCACCCTAACCTGCATGTCTTTTGAGTGTGGGAGGAAACCAGAGCACCATAGGGATTAACATGCAAATTGCATGCAGACTGTCATCTAAGGGTGGAACTGAACCCAAGTCCCTTCTGCTGAAAGGCAGCAGTGCTAACCATTCAGCCACTGTGCTGCCCTGTGTCTATTATAACAATACACTATTTATGTATTGTTTGTAAAATAATGTCTCTAATCAATTACTTATTGTAATAACCTACTATTAACCCACTGTCTATTGTAACAGTCCACAATTTGCCAACTAACGTACTGCCATATGTTATAACAATTTACTACCTATTGTATCAATCCACTCTCTGTCTATTGTAATAATGCGCTGTCTATTGTCACAAATCCCTGTCTCTTATAATGGGTTAATAGTGAATTATTAAATGAGAGAGATAGTGTATTATGTCTTTTCAATTAATTCAGTCTTTTCTCATAATCCACTGTCTTGTACAAATCGAGTACTAACCCGCTATGTCTATTTAATAACCCAAAGCCTGTTTATTTGTAATAATCCACACTCTGTTGGGTAGTTTGTATCTCTATTTACTGTTGATGTGTTTTTGACAGTGGTCTGAATCAGGAAAATGAATGCTTTAAAATCAATAATTGTAGGAGGATTTGTTGTACTTGTGAAAGGCAAATTACTAAAACTCACTTCAAGTCATATTTACGCTGCTGCTTTGTCCAAGCTGTGGGGAAACCTGTTTATTGATGTGCTGTACATAGTGAAATTCAACCAGTGACTTGTTTGTAGAATTGCAGCCTGTTGTGGATGACAAAGGCGATCAGCCTGACGACAACCATCTGTTTGGCGCCTGGGTATCTGCACAGCTTGTGGATGTGAATGACAGTGGCAGAAACCTTTGGACATCAGAAAGCGGAGATGATGTGTCTTTCTCTCCAGTAAACAAAAAGACCTAAAGCCTGAAGAAAGACACTTTATCTTCCCCTCACCAGATGCAGTAAACTGCAACTTTTAACTAAGTATCTAAGGGACTTTGACATCAATGTACCAGTTGCTCTGTGAAGAAGTGACAAGGATCTGGGGAAGTGAGATGACCATTTTGCTTGCCAACACTCGCCGCTTCTCAAACTCTGTGAATCCTGTGAACTGGGCCCTTGAACTGCTTTCCCAGTTATTTTCCCCCTAAACCCTTAGACCCATGTAATGTCTGTCTGTTTGTGTGCAGGAGGGGCATTTGAGAAGGGGGTTAGAGTTTTACTTTGTAGAATTATAAGTTGACAGTTCACAGATTCTAACCACAGGTAGGAAACTATTTACTTGTAATAAATAGTAATTCTGGTTAAGTACAAAAATCTGCTTTGTGTTTTGTTGACCCAAGTCTACTTGACAGGTAAATTAGGAATTTTGTGTACTTTAAAGATTTTATCAATGTTTGTGACAACTCCAGGAATACAGGGGTCTTATGTCCAGCATGCTAGCCCATTGAGAGGCAACATCAGCTATTGTATTAATCCTCTCTACAGTCTGTCTATTATACTGGTTCACAATTTACTTATTATAATATGCTACAGCCTGTCTATTGTAATAAACCATTGTCTGACGATTGCGATCCTGCATGGCCAGACACTTTGAGCTGTGGTGTTGAAGTATTAACAGTGTTTCTTAAAACATGAAAGAACTGGGGGTGGCATGGTGGCTCAGTGGCTCGCACTGTAGCCTCACAGCACCAGGTACCTCAGTTCAATTCCAGCCTCAGGTGACTGTGTGGAGTTTGCACATTCTCCCCGTGTCTGCGTGGGTTTCCTCCAGGTGCTCCAGTTTCCTCCCACAGTCCAATGATGTGCAGGCTAGGTGGATTGGCCACGCTAAATTGCCTGTAGTGTTCAGGGATGTGTGGGTTATAGGGGGATGGGTCTGGGTGGGATGCTCCAAGGGTCAGTGTGGACTTGTTGAGCCAAAGGGCCTGTTTCCACACCGTAGGGATTCTGTGAAACTGCGTAAGCTGTAAATCAGAAACAAAAACAGAAGATGCTGGAAAAGCTCAAATGTTTATCTTCCTTTTAGTAAGGACTGTAATGTTTAACTTTTTAAACTTTTATTTCCTTATTTTTCTGCTTTATACCTAAGATTCTGTACATAAATAACTTTGAACCCATGATGGCAACATAAGTGGTGACTGGTAAACTTTTTACTGTACTCATGAGTATATGTGACAATAAATCCAATTCAATTGTAGTATCCCAATGTCTGTTTATTGTAATAGCCCATTGTCTATTGCAATAATCTACTGTCTGTTGTAAAATTTGAATGAGAGTTTGATTTATTATTGTCAAGTGTACCAAGATACAGTGAAAAGTGTTGTTTTGCAGCCGATACAGGCAGATCATTCCATACAGAGTGCATCAGGGTAGCAGACCAGAGTGCAAAATACATGTTACAGCCGCAGAGAAGGTACAGGGAGAGAGATCAACATTAACATTTGAGAGGTCTGTTCAAAAGTCTGATAACTTAAATCCCACAGTCTGTCTATTATAATAACCCAGAGTTTGTCTATAGTAGTATATAGTCTGTCTATTGTAAAATCCCACTGTCTGACTATTGTAGAATCCCAAAGAACCACTCTGGTTTTTGTTACAAAATTGCTTGGAATTTTGATTAATGGCATAAAACTATGATTGCCAGTAACAAGACATCTTCAACTGGTTGAGTACAAAATAACTTTAAATCAACGGTCCAATCTCAATCTGCAGGGGGAGTCTGTTCCACTGCTTGCGTAGACCCAATCTTGTGGCTTGTTTGCAAATGTTCAAATTGTTCAAGCCAAAATGTGCCTGAGAAATAAGATTTAGTACCTACTGGCACAATAAAGTACAATTGTAATATTTTGATGGTTGTCTACATTTCCATTTATATTTGAGTAATTATGTAGTGATGACAGCATTTAGAACTCTAAGTGCGTTACTCTGAATTAATGCATCTCAGTTAATTAGCACTTTCTGAAAAACATTTCCTGCATCTCCCCTTGCAACATTTTATTTCATTCTACAGTATACATACTTAGGGAGTTTATAAAAATTTTGATTTTTTTGTGTGTAATAGTCAAATTCATTAGAAGGACACCATTAGGAATCCTATTCTTATCCATTTGTCTTTTCATGTCATTGAGTTTATCTGGAAAGTGATCTGTAAGTACAAGAGGTACAACAGAATCAGGAAATCAAAATTGTTAAATTTCATTCACTTCACTGACAAAATGTGAAATTTTGCTGAACGAATTTACATTAGTTTCAAGTAATTGCACTGTTGTAACCATATTGTAATGCTTGAAATTATGCAATAATTAAATTTACATCAAAAAACCATTCAAACAGACTTACTATTTTAGTCATGTATAATAAATATTAAAAGGGTACAGGCATTTAGTTTGCTTTTAGTAAACGTATAAAATATTCTGTCATTGATGTATTTTTCATGTAAGAGTAAATGACAATAAATTTCTATTCTATCCACTGTCTGTTGCAAAAGCCCACTGCCTCTGCAGCTCAGTGTCAAAAAGGTGGAAATCCCAAGAATAGCTGAGAGTGAAAACATCCAGAGACTGCAGGTATCCCTCTCTCTCTCTGTGGGCGAAAAGACAGAAAACCCAAAGTTTAAAGGAGGAATTATACAAGAAAAGACTGATGATGGCCTATCAAATCGCAGGATGACCGTCACTGTACAGTCAACAGCGTTTCATCATTGCAAAACTCAAAAGCACTGCGAGAAGGA